AAGAGGAGGCATCCCATCCCTCCTCCACATCATGGAGGGACCAGCTTGAACATCAGGTCTCCTCTGTGCTGTCATCTGTGGTGGATCCTGCCTCTCCCCCTGCCTGTCCTGATGGGTTGGCATCAAGGCCCTACTCAGTGTGTGACTTCATATTTCAGCTTTACCTCTAGACTACCTGTGTTTCTTTTTTTTTTTTTTTTTTTAACATCTTTATTGGGGTATAATTGCTTTACAATGGTGTGTTAGTTTCTGCTTTATAACAAAGTGAATCAGTTATACATATACATATGTTCCCATATCTCTTCCCTCTTGCGTCTCCCTCCCTCCCACCCTCCCTATCCCACCCCTCCAGGCTGTCACGAAGCACCAAGCCAATATCCCTGTGCCATGTGGCTGCTTCCAACTAGCTATCTACCTTACTACGTTTGTTAGTGTGTATATGTCCATGACTCTCTCTCGCCCTGTCACAGCTCACCCTTCCCCCTCCCCATAACCTCAAGTCTGTTCTCTAGGAGGTCTGCGTCTTTATTCCTGCCTTACCCCTAGGTTCTTCATGACATTTTTTTTTTCTTAAATTCCATATATATGTGTTAGCATACGACTACCTGTGTTTCTTGAAACGATCTCTGCTCCGCTCTCTAGAGCCCTCTGGCAGCCCCATCCCACTCTTGACACCTGTATGTAGTCTCAGGAACCCAGCCCAGATCCTGCAGAGACCCAGCATCTGGGCTCTGCTGATTATAAATTGGGAAATGAGACAAAGTTGCCCAATGAGCGGCAGCATAGAGTTGTGCGCGGCTGTAGGGAAGGATGGTACGGAGTTTTAGCAGGGCTGGAACCCAGGACTCCAGGGGCTGGGGGTGGGCCAGGTATGAGATGACCCCCTATAGAGGCCAGATTATAAAGGCCCAAGGATCAGGTGGGGTGGAGAGGAGAGGAGGTAACAGAGAGCGCAGCAAGACAAACTAATCTTAAACTAGAGAACTCTTCCTACAAGCCGGAGGGTGAGGTGGGTGTGACACTGGGACAGCCTGGTTGGCTTCAGGTGGCGAAACTGTGCACATCGCTCGACACACGGTGTGGATGGTCAATATTATTAACAAGCGTAAGAAACTTCAAACTGAACAAGTTTCGTCCCCCAAGTTATACACTTTGCAACTGCTTTATCTTTCTTTGCAAATTGAGACAGCCCTGAATAATCCAGGATAAACCTGAATAAACCACAAGGTGAGAAGGCTGCACTCATGGTGTGACAGACATCTGATACTTACCCAATGAGCGTGGAGCACAGAGGTCAATCAGTCATGGACTGCATGTGAACTCCAATCCCACGGAAGAGCTGAATACGCATGTAATAGCCACCTGGCAGTGAGCACCTTGGACGTGTTGGGCACTCAGCTGCATGCTGGGTATACAAATACCCTCCTGAAGGCCCCAAGGCAGCAATAAGGTCACAGCCTAAATAGTTCTAGTTCAAAATCAATGGTGATCAATAATGGAGATTCAAAGAGCTAAGGGAGTACGGAGAAGGGAGAGATTAATTTCAAGTAGCTTGATTACTCAAAATCTCATCCCTTGGTTTTCTGTGTGATTTGATCCCCCCTATCCTGACCGTCTGAAGTGGCATCATGCAAACCAAAGCCTTCCGTGTAAGTTCCACTGTGGATCCTATGAGCACTGTATGTTGAATTTTTTTTTTTAATGAGCGTAACGAGTGAGGAAGTCTCTGAGTAATGAGATGTGAAACAGCACTGAAGATAGGGAAAATAGAGCAGTTTAGCTAGTTACCTTTGAATAAGAGAGACTGTAAGAGATTTTATATCTTTTAATTGTAAGATATAATAATTCGTGTTTATTTTTCATCTATTAGATAAAAAGATTATAGAATCTACTTTAAGCAGAAATGACATAGCAACTGTCAGTTCAATCAAGATTATAGAGATTATTTCTAAGGAGTAGATATTATAGCATCATTGTGCTTTTTACAAAATAATTACAAGTCTTTGTTTCAGTGTTACGTTTATGCATAGAATTTTGCTGCACCAGTTTCTAGCCAGACATGGAAATCACCTCCCTCAAGATGAGCAGAAGATGATTTAAGTACAACAGGAAGGAGGAACTTTGTAGGTTGGACATGGGCTCTTTATCAGATACCTACCTGGGACCATAATTACAACTAATTATTCAGTGACCAACACATAAGGCTATTGGGATTTTTATTTTTAAACAGTGAAACGCACAAGTATAGTAAATTTTGTGTTGGGACGGGGGTGGGGGGGAAGCAAGGAAAGGAAACCTCCTCTCCTCCAGAGTGAACAACCAAAGGTAATCTTGTGATATGTTTCACTTGTTCGGGAATAGTTGATAAAAAGCGGAAACCCAACCCCAAAGGCTTGAAGGACACAGTTACTCATTGAAAGAGAGACGTGTTCACACCTCAGTTCACTTAAAAATACATATGGAGCCTCATCCTACCTGCAGACACTGTGGTAACTGCACTCTCCCCTCTGTATCATTGTGAGGGGTGGTGTTTATGTGTGTGTCCTAATTACTTCCTCTTCCCTACTGGGACCTTAACTTATAATATTAGTCTTTCTCATTTCTCAGTATCTTACACATTTTAATATGTAATATCTTACATATTTTAATATAGTAGGCAGTTAATAATTTTTTTTAATTGTGGAGGAGACTAGACTAGAACAAAGCAGAGTAAGAAAATGCTCAAATTAATATTGAAAACATGTAACGTTGACAAAGTTGTTAATTCCTGGTCTTTCCCATCGGTTGCCCCTGCCCATTCATTGACTACCAGTGAAAATAGGACTGATCGTGAGGATGTTTATTTGTGAATCAGGAGGCAGCCTGCCCCCATCGTGAAGCCACTCAAAGGAAAGACTGAGCATTCGTGGATAAGGGGAAAGGCTAGAGGATATTCGAGACTAAGGTGCACATGAGCTATCCCTACAGTTCTTTCAAGTCCAAATTCCATTCTTCTGTCTTTGGAAACATGAGCTCATCAAAGCACAAAGAGGCAGGATTTAAGACTGACAGTCATACGTTGCACCCAGTGTTCTTCAGACCAAAGAGTTCTGATTGGAATTTTTTTCTTTTTGAATGCTGTAATGATTGGAATTTTTGACAAACCTAGTACGCTAACAGTGTCAAAGCTCGACCTGGTGAAAATCATTTCAAGGAGAAATGCTCTAAAAATGCTCTTTTACAAAGACCATCCTTCTAATAATAATACCAGAGTGGCTCTCACCACTTTTTCTTTTGCAAAAAGATTTCTTTCCTCCCTCCCAGAGATGCTGTCAGAACGAGGGTTCGCCACCCCAAGGCAGATTCTATAACACTTTCCATAAAAATGCTGCCAGTATTTGCTCAGTTACGTTATCTAAGGAACTGAGGAGTTTTGTTTATATTTTAAGATCAGCAAATGCCAAAAATACTAATGTGAATTGAATAACCTTTCCCAGTGTTACATTAAAACACTGATAGATCGTCTTTAAACACGTCTGCAGAACTTTTTAGATATTAAAGAAAACATTTATGTTCAGTAGCATTTTAGCATTGAGCCTATTTTATTTTGATTTAATTCCTAAAAGGTATAGTCCGTATTGTACACCAAGCCTGAAGCCTTTGCTTTCCTGTCCTTCACAGACCTGGGTTTGTTCTAGCTTCTCCGCTTACTACCTGTGTAGCCTTGGACTACCTGTCTGAGCCTCAGTTCTCTTATCTGTAAAACAGAATGAAGTATAATGGGAAAGATGTTGGAAAAATGAAATGAGAACACTTGTGTCAATTACAGCATGAGTTTGAAGATTCATTCTGTTCAGCTACTCCTGTGTGCTCTAAGGCCACAGGTTCTTGGAATCTGCCCCATGGCTGGCCCCAGCAGTCACTGAAGAACACTACCCTCCCCAACCAAACCCTCCCCCTAGAAGTAGAGTTAGAGCTACTTTAGTTTAGGTCTTCAGTGTGAGCATCACCAAGTATGCAAATTACCAGATTCCACCAGTGATCTCAAGGTGAGGCCCAGCTATCTCCATGAACACGCCCTCCAGGTGATTCTGATAATAGCCATAGCTTGAGAACCATTGCCCTACCTAGATCATTCTCTCTTTCCATCACCCTTCCCCACAGTTTCTAAATTTTTTCAGGCCCTTTGTACCTTTCATTAACTCATCTCCTCCAGCATCCCTCTAATAGCCTGTGCTGTCTCTCATTCAGTTACTGCAAAAGTTCTCTGCTGGAACTGAATCCTTAATCACGGTTGGAGAGGAAGACCAGAACACCCTCTCAGGTGGAATAACTAAAAGCACCCAAAAGATTCACCTTTGACTAGATTGTCTCATGTCTTTTGTACCTTCTGGAAGCTCTCTCTGTCTCCCAGCCATGCATTTCATTACAAGGGGCCCCTTCTGTTGGCTTTAGCTCAGGCTGTGCCATTGTAGGAAGGAGTCTGGGCAACTCCTACCCATAAAAGGTACCATAGGCATCCCGATGACTAAACTTTCACAGAAATCTCTGTGTTCTTAGAATAAATTTCTAGAAGTTTACCTCTGGCAGGGCCAAGGTAGGTATCTTTTTGAAGCAGGTGAAATTAGATCTCTCAAATACTTCAGTAAGTTGAAAAGCTTTGTGTTTGGAAAGTATTTCAAACTTCTCAAAGAAGAAGAATCCTTTGAATCAAAGAGCTTCTGATTCCCTGGTCGATTGTAAAGGAAGCAGACCTTGAAGACTTGGCCCAAGTCTCCCTTCTTAGCAGTCACAGGACTCTCACGGATCACGTGTTTGGAATTCTGCATTCTCCATTTAGAGAGTTTCCTTGCAGATATCTGTGACTCACCTAATTCCAGGATGCTTTTTTGGAGGCCATCCCCCCCCCCGATTAAATTATATTCTTGGTAAACCTGAAAAGGCAAGGAAAGTGTTTTGATTAAAACTATGAGAGGAGGTGACCACCGTGAAGGGCGCTGACACATCCTTTTGCTTTGCAGGAATGTTAGTTCAGCCGGAGAGGAGGCCCGCAGGAGGATGCGGGAATGTGATGGGCTCACGGATGCGCTGCTCTACGTGATTCAGTCTGCGCTGGGGAGCAGCGAGATCGATAGCAAGGTTTGTTGAATTTGCATAGGTGAAGCATCTTAGAGAAGAAGGATGCCCAGGGGACCAAACAGTGGCTAACAAGGATGGAGAGTTAATGCTATGTTTACTACTTTCACTCTGAGATCTATATCAACGTTTAATCCTAGCCTAGAACTAGACACTTAATTCTTGATTAGTAGTGAATAAAAATTTAGATTAAGTTATTGTAACTACAGATGTTCCAGATGAGTGTATAAACTCTCACATACCAGGTTGCCCACAATCTTCTAGCTTTATTTTCTAAAATCCATTGGTAAAAGAAAAAGAAATATTAAAACTACCTGAGAGTTGAATAATCCTATATTCTTACACGATAGCTCTTGAACAACTTAATTTTGTCCAGTGCCATGCAAGGAATGCCTGATGAAGTCTAAATAAATGCCGTCAAAATGCTACATAAACGAGCCTGTCAAAGCATCCATCGTCAGCGTCCATTCAGTGCTTTAGTTCGCAAACCAAAATAGAATTGGATGGGCTTCACCAGCGCTGAGCTATTTTGTTTTGTCTTCACTTGTCTTTTGATGAGTTTTGGTTCGTTTTCAATAAAAAATTTGTCATTTCATAATATCCCGATATCAACACAGACTTTACTGATGCTTTCAAGTAATACATGTGATGAATGTGATACCTTAATAAGACCTTAATACATGTGATACCTTAATAAGACCTTCTCCAGAGCCACTCTGTTGACATCTGGGTCCAGTTCTCTGCTGGGGGCTGCCCTGTGCACTGTAGGATGGTGAGCGGCATCCCTGGGTCCACCCACTAGATGCCAGTAGCATCCTTCCCGCAGCCCAGTTGTGACAAACAAAAATGGCTCCAGATATTGCCAGATATACCATAGGGAGCCAAAAATTGGCCCTGGTTCTGAACCAAAGCCTCAATCCCATGGTTTTTAATACCAACTCTTCTTCGGAATTGCCTTTGGAACATTTAATAAATGCATGTGCCTAGACCCCATCACAGCCCCCTGAGTGAATCTGAGTGTCCAACTCTCGTCTCCGATTTCTATTCCTCTGAAAGTTCATCAGGTGATTCGATGTGCATCTTGGATTGAGAACCGCCCTAGTAGATACAGCTTTGAAATGGACACTAGTCGGGAATACGATATAATGTAACTTAGTTGTAAGGTCAGATAAAGAACAAATAAGAGTGATTTCATCCATTTAGTTACTCATTGGCATGGGGATGATTTGCCATGGCGCTTCTCTACACATTAGAGTGACTGAAAAATTTAGAAAATTACTAAAAAAACTAGAAAACTAAATTACTAGAAAAGCTAGAAAATTCCTGATGCCTGAGCCCTACTCCCTAAAGTTTAGGACCCATGATATTTTCTGGGACTCTAGCCCTTTGAGTACCAGCTGACTCCAGTTATGACACTGTCTGTCATTTTATCACTGCCACTCAGTTACATTTGCATCCATTCATTTACCGTATATGACATCAATTTCAAAAGTGAAATATGATAGAAAAGATTTAATCAACCTCTCTTGTAAATGCCCTTAACAGCCATTTTAGACCTTTTAATATCATTGACAGGAAAATTAAGTCCCTGAAGAAGCAACCAGTCAAGATGTCTTGAGTATTTACAGATACCTGTTAACATAATAGAGGAATTTTGAAAAGAGCTACTGAAGGTAATTCATAATTCACAGAAGCTGCAATGCTAGGATCTTAATATTCAAAGTGGTAAAGACTAACGCAGGGGATGCTAAGCCTATGGATACCAAGCAAGCTTTAATAGTGTCTGGGCCTTGGAGTTGAGAATAAAGTAAGAGTCAACAGCCTCTTGTCTTGGTCCAGTGCCCACCACTGGGTAAGGCAGCCTTCAGGAGCATGGTCCAAAATCAGAGTGCTGTGAAGCACGCACATCTTTCTTCTGATGTGTCAGAGGACCAGACTCCTCCGTCTCTCGGGAGACCTTGGAGATTCTCCTTGTTAATGTCCGTCCACATTTCCCCCAAAAGAGGAAACTGAAAAACTGAGGACCACTTAGGGCTGGAGTCAGAAAACTCAGATATTCCTTGAAATCATGCCATTTGCAGCAACATGGATGGACCTAGAGATGCTCATACTAAGTGAAGTGAGTCAGACAAAGACAAATATCTGATACCGCTTATATGCAGACTCTAAAAAATATGACACAAATGAACTTATTTACAAACAGACTTAGAGACTTAGAAAACAAACTTATGGTTACCAAAGGGGAAAGATGGGAGGGAGAGGGGATAAATTGGGAGTTTGGGATTGATGTGCACACCACTATATTTAAACTAAATAATCAACAAGGACCTACTGTACAGCACAAGGAACTCTGCTCAATATTCTTTAATAAACTAAATGGGAAAAGAATTGGAGAAAGAATAGATACACGTATCTGTATAACTGAATCGCTTTGCTGTACACCTGAAACTAACACAACGTTGTAAATCAATGATGCTCCAATAGAAAATAAAAATTAAAAGAAGAAAAAACAGAAGACTCAGATATTCCTGATTGAGCAGCAAGAACACTGAGCTTGGCCCCGGGAGCGTGCTGGAAAACGTGCCATCTCGTCCTCCCGATGACCAAGGACAGGACCCGGGTGACCTCAGCTTTGAGACAAGGAGGATCCTTATAGCTGTTGAAAGGATCAAATGTGATAAACTACTCAGCAGTGCTCTGCTGGCCAGCATGTGCTATTGAGTTTTAACGTATTATTATTGTCCCATCACTTTCCACTCGGCCCTCTTCTTGGCCACTTCTGGGCTTTCTCAGTGACAAGTTAGAGGAGGGAAAAATGTGTGCACGCTGTCTTTGAGGCCAGCGAAGTTAATGAGTGCAAGAGCCTGGATTCCACGCACGCTCTCAGCTCAGCTCCTGGTAACTGGAACAGTTTGTTGAAAGGGTAACATATGGTGGAGCGTTCTACAGACAGCTTCCAAATTAGCCGTTTCTAATAGAAAATAAGGAGTCAAAATGACCCTGGTGACCTAGAGGAGCTACTGAAAGCTCTGTTGACGGCAATGGATATGGAAACCAAAACCACCAGCTGCCACCCACCTTCTGCTGGTGTCCCCAAGGAGGGCGGTGGCAGTCTTCTTTTTTTTCTTTTTTTCCTGCCCCTGCAGAGAAAAGCTCTTGACTTGGTAACCCTCCCAAACCAAGCTTAAGGAGAGATAAGTTCAACCCCTGGGGCCACCCCCATCCATCCCTCTCTACCACTTCCTCTGTCTCCCTTCCGCCCTCCCCATCCCCTCTCTGTCTCTCCTTCCTCTCCCCACCATCCAGCTTCTCTCAAAATCATCCCTCAGCCACAGGTAGATTATAAGACATTTCTCAAAACGGCAGATCTATTCCCCAGTGGTCATTTGTTAAACAGAGGCATGGAGGTGCCCCAGGGAAGATGAACAGCAGTATGAGAAAGGAGTTTATTCTCCCAAGTCTTTGATGTAAGAAAAATCAGTTTGAGCTGATTTAAAAATCGTTCTGACTTAGGCCATAACATTTTCTTTTCAGGGAGAGACTTTTCTCCCTTTCATGTATTGTCCTGTGTTTACCTGCTTTCATGCCGGTTCCTTTTTCGATGCTGAGAGGATGCTTGAAATAGAAGATCAAGTTGACTCAAAGCCTGTGGGATTAGCAGCCCATGAAACCTTGAGAAGCTGACAAGAAACGCTTGGAATGGCAAAGGTCCCAAAATATACCCTGAAAACTGGTTTTCCTGCTTGGTTTTCCTGCCCACAGTAGTCATGTCAAACATATACAGCGCCTTTTACCAGATCCCAGTCATAGGTGGGAACAGTGCAGGATCTGGACCTGGCAGCTCTCACCACCCTTCCAGTCCCATCCTAAGACTAGAAAAAGTGGTGCCATCTGGTATAAGTTACTGAACGCTTCAGACCTCATCTGTAAAATGGAACGATCTTCCCTGCCTTGAATGGTGTCTGTCACACAGTTGGTGCCTGAAAAATGATAGCCAACTTGGCATGCTTTTAAAAAGACAACTTATCTCTTCTTTTTCAGATTTTGTACGCCTGAAACTGACATGACATTGTAAATCAACTAGACTTCAATAAAAAAATTTAAACTTAAAAAATAAAATAAAACTTATCTCAGTTCAATTTATTCTCCATCATTATCTTGTCCTTTGTAAAAATTTGGTATTTTTTTTCCTCTTCCCTCGGTTCCTCAAATCCAGGACAAAGGTCAAAAGGTTGATGCGCTGGTCTGAACGTTTGGTTCCCCCAAAATCCGTATGTTGAGACCTAATCTCCAATTTGGCAGTGGGGAGTTTGGGAGGAAGTAGGAGCACAGGGAGATTTCCCACTTTGGCCAAGGTCACACAGCTCATTAAATGGCAGAGCCAGGACTCCATCATGGACCCATTAGATCTAGGTCACAAGCTCTGGACCTCCCAGCAGTACCATCTCCACCATTGTTAATGATATAGATCCTTGTACAGCACTTGCTGTGTGCCAGGAACTCTTCTCAGTACCTACATACCGGGTTAGTTTCCTGTTGCTGCTATAACAAACAGCCACAAACATGGCAGCTTAAAAACATAAACTTATTATCTTACCATCTTAGACATCAGGAGTCCAAAAGGGGTCTTTTGGGGCTAAAATCAACGTGTCAACAGGGCTGCATTCCTTCTGGAGGCTTGAGGGAGGCATCTGTTTCCTTGTCTTTACAGCTTCTCAAGGCCGCCCACATTCCTTGTCTCACGGCCCCTTCCTGCATCTCTAAAGCCAGCAATAGCAGGTCACGTCCTTCTCACAGGGTTTCACTCTAACTCTTCTGCCTCCTCTTTTGCTTATAGGACCCTCAGGATTCCATGCCCCCCCTGGGTAATCCAGGGTAATCTCCCCAACTGATTAGCAACCTTAATTCCCTCCACCACATAACCTAACGTATTCGCAGGTTTCAGAGACTAAGATGTCGACATCTTTGGGGCAGAGAGCTTTATTCTGCCTATCACATGTAAATACTCTAATTCCCATATTCCACACAGCAGCCTAAAACGTGGCCACTATCATGGCCGTCTTACAGAGCAGGTTATGGTCACGGAGATATTGGGTGCACTGTCCAAGTCACACAGCCAGTGGTCAGAGACCACTACAGGTATCCAGCTCTATGTGTGTCCTTAACCACTGTTTAACGCCCCTGCCAGGAAAATCAGCATGGAAACACGGATGCCCCCGGGTGAACACAGAACCCGGCTTGCCTGGGACCACCCTGGTTTGCACCTCTTGCCCTGTTTCACCCCCAGAAAGCGCCCTGGTAGATGGTAAATGTTAATGTCGCCCTCCCAGAGCTGACAGAAATCCAGTTGTCTGTGCTCTTGGTGGTTCAGAGCCCTAGTCCCCATGCGGCCATTGTCCGTAAGTGGACGCCATCTGGGACCTCTCGTGGTTGTGAGTTCTTCCTCGCTCACAAGTGAATTTCAATCAATGGCAGCTGCTTAGAAAAGGACCTCTTGTTGATAAGTAGTATCTTTGGGGTGAGAAAATGTCTTAGGACTTTTCCAAGCTTCCCTAAATTCTTTCCACTGTGGCTGTCAAGGGAGCCATTAGGGGCAGCGGCTACATGCATCCAAAGAAAAATGTGTGTGTAAAGACGGATCGCTTTTCTGGGTGGAGGAGTGCTGGTTAGTTTTTATTCACTCCTCCTCCTTTTTTTTTTTTTGGATTCTCCAGACCGTTGAAAACTGTGTGTGCATTTTAAGGAACCTTTCGTACCGGCTGGCAGCGGAAACGTCTCAGGGACAGCACCTGGGCACAGATGAGCTGGACGGGCTGCTCTGTGGTGAGGCCAATGGCAAAGATGCAGAGAGCTCCGGGTGCTGGGGCAAGAAGAAGAAGAAAAAGAAATCTCAAGATCAGGTGATGTGGGGACTCGCAGCTGCATGCAATCTTCCCTTGCCCTAATCACAACATGCATGTTTCGTCTGTGTCTGCAGGTGCAGGGCTCTGCGTTTCTGACACGCGGTCACATCACTAATGCCTCTGCACAGGCTTTCTGTGGGGATTTCATAGCTGAGACAGTGGAGCATTACATGACTCCCCTCAGGTTCTGCAGCCACGCAAAGATAGGAAATTTCAAAAAGGGAAAGAGCCGCTTGAGTCCAGGGCAAGCTCTAAGTTTCCAGCTCACACAGTCGAGTCAGATGCAGGCGCTGATTCTTCTGTGTCGATGCACACATTTATTGCGGTCCTTGCGGGGGCCAGGCGGGTGCCTTGCAGGTGGTACAGTTGCACAAGGATAGGTGTGGTCTAAGAAGGGACGCTGTGGAGAGAGGCACAGAAATCCAACATATATTGTATAGGTCATTTGGGAACTTTTGGACATGCAATCTTGCACTTATTGTTGGAAAACGGAATAATTCACAGCCCTCCCAACAGAATGCCATTAGAAGCTTGGCCTTGGGGGGCAATTCCGGTTACTCCAGATAGCTGTCCGGCTGGAGAGGCCTCTTCAGAATGGAACGGCCTTTCCTCCAGCAGCTGTCGGTTGCCCTGCATTGAAGTAAAGGCCCACAGGCTGTGATTCTCAGCCTTGGCAAAAACAGAACAGCCTCCAGCCCTGCCCCTCGGGAGCTTCTGGGAGGTAGAACCCCTCACCCACCAGGCCCCCAGGTAAGGGAGTAATGAGAAAAAGTGCCCGTCCTGTGGCTGCCAGAAACCCCTGCTACGGAGATCTTCCCGTCTCCTGCGGACACTGTGGTCATGTTCCCAGCCTTCCCCTGACACTGTGGTTATACCTCCAGCCTTGCCCTGGACGCTATGGTTGTATCTCCAGCTGCTGAGGGTCCTATAAACCCAAGATCTGACTGTCCTCAGGAGTGGATGACTGAGAAAGTGGGACAGAATCCCCAACATGCTCTCTTGCCAGGTTTTTAATTCAAAATAAATTTTCAAAAATATCTGTTTAGGTCACAGCACACTATTTTCTAAACTATTTTTGGAAAAGTTTAACTCCGAGTGAGGGTTAAAGGAACTATTTTATTCACGGTAAGGATTAATGGGAATGTGTCCTTAAATATAATTCCTACATTTAACCTGAATGTGTCAGTGTTAGCATTTTTGTAGGTTCCAGTTCTCAAGCTGCTTGTAGCCCCTGAGGCTCCAGGTCTTTCTACAGCTTCTGGATCTGTATGTTGCAGCTTAAACACGCCTATAATTTAGGAGATACAGGCTCATTGCCTCTTTGACGGTGACCTTCCACTCTGAGAAATAAATCCCCAGCCCTGCTTTTTCTCCTGTCCTGGATCAGTACTCTGTGTCTTCCATCTCCCCCTGAACTGGAGGAGCCTTTTGGGAGTATCGAGCCATGGTTCTTAATTCTGCCTCTTAGAACCCTCCTACCAGGGGGGATGCAGTGGTTAGCCAGCACCTGCCATGTGCCAAGTATTATACTAAGTGATGTCACACACTTCAGTTATCCTACCTGGTACTTAAGGGTGCCAAACGATTATGGGTTCTGAATATTTTTCATTATCAAATAAGTTAAAGATGGCCTAACAAAGGTACATGGGTTCTTCTCATGGTTTCCTTTTGTGGTATTGTATACCTTGGGGCCCAGTCCCTACACTGCTTTACCCTGGAAAGCAAGCTCAATAAAGTTGAAAGGAAGAGAAGCCTATGGGCAAGAATATAGTGCTTTACAGTCTACCCTGTGATCAAAATCACCTGAATCTCACCTACAACCTAATGATTCAGAACCTCTGGGATGGGCCCAGGCAGCTTTGGAAATCAGATTTGTGGAAGTCCATTAATATGACATTAGCCTTGGCAGGCAGAATGAAAGAAAGAAAGAGAGAAAGAGAGAGGGAGGGAGGGAGGAAGAAAGAAAAGAAAGAAAGAAAAACTTTAAACTGAGGTTAAATTCACTCTGATTTCATGGTTTTCTCTTTAGTCTATGGCTTAGATTTTGAAGCACAGCCTTCTGATAGCTTCTGTGCCTGGCCCTGGTGTCTCCTTTAGTAAGATTCTGCCCTGACACTGAACCCTTTTCCCAACTCTGCCAAGGTGTGCTCTGGTGGCTTGAGGTCTTTCAAATGACAGGTGAGATTAGGAGTTGATTGGGTCCAGAGAAGCCAGGGGTCAGAAGAGAACATTCATGGACATCACGCCAAGATAGAGCCCTTCTTCCAAGGGGCTTAGCTGCTTCCATGAAACCTCATGGTGAGCGATATTCCACCTCAGAACGCTGTACTTCAAACCATAATTTATGACATCAGTGAGCTCTCTTCTAAGTTCAGTACACTAAAATGATGAGTAGAATCTTAGGATTTTTGCCTGAAATCTAAATGAAAATGAGTACAGTCTGTTCTATTTTTCTTCTTACAATATTCTTTTAAGGGAGAAAAAAATAATTTCTTTAAGAAAGTTTTGCTGAAACCACCGTAAGTTAAAACACAATGGAACTTTGTTGTTTATAAAGAAGCTTCAAAGTTATTTCAACCAAATGATAGTTTTAAAAAATGTTTTCAAACTGTTCTCCTACATAATATAAAAATATTTTGAAGTGCCAGGAAATTCAGTATCAAGCTTAATGAGGATGTAAACAGATGGAGTGTTAGGTTTGCAGCTATAAAAATGGTCAGATATAATACATCCCCTGGAATCTCTACTGCTCATAAAGTCAGTCTCTTTAAAGAATAGGTAGTGATTATAGAAAGTGTATAATACAAAGTGAAATGAAGAAAGAGGTATATAGGTATAGATATAATGCAGATAAAACCTGGCCAGTTTAGTAAAATATGTGTCATATGCAAATTCAAAATATATGCATGTACAAAAATACGTTATTTTAGAAAAAGTGCAGTACATCAAAGATGATGGAAGATAGTGACTGATTCTTCTTATATGTATTTGTAAATTTTCTACAATGGGCATTACAATTGTAATCTTTTCAAATATTATTTTAAAATAATATCCAAAAAGGAACTAACGGACCAAGTCAGTGTTTGTTTATGCAACTGTATATGCTTTTTTCTCTTAAATTTGAGTTGCCTCAGAGAAAGGCATAAGATAAAATGAAAAGTTGTCTAATCCACGGCAGATCCTTACCAGGACAGAGGAGCCAGAGGTTTTACCAGGAAGCAGAAGTGATGAAAATCCTAATATTGGTTTAGTGATTGACTCTGTCACTTGCTGAATTCCAGAAATTTACGTTGACTTTCACCTTGGGCATTGGTATTCTGTACCCTTGGAAAATACTATACTTGCAGGTCAGATTTAGTTATAATAAAAATCTTGCAAACTTTCTTTTAGATCCCTGATAGGGATAATTCAAGAAAATATGTGATACAGAACCATCAGATGTAAGCCCCTGTGTGTGGCTGTATTGGACACTTCTATGCATCGTATTCTGGTCCAAAAGGACGTTGCAAATTCATTAATTTCTGACTTTGTGTTCAGTGCCTATCGCTGAATTATAAGAAATGACTGGTTTCTCTAGTAGCTCTTTTCAATTAGACCCTCTGCCAAAGCAGTCTACATGCCATGTGCCAAGAGACATATCTCACCAGCACAGTCCTCACCGCTGCTGGCAGGGCTTTGTGCCAGCAGCCTGGCAGAGCAGGGCAGGGGTGGCAATCCGAAGATTGAGGTCCAGGGAAATAGCAGTAGACAAAATTGATTTAGCTGCTTTCCCACCCTTTGTAGAAATAAGCATTTTTGTTTGTTTTTCGATTTGGCATGTGGCCAAGGTTCCTGCGATGGTGTCTGGGGATCAGTGGTGCTCAAACGTGGATTAGAGGTAACAGGATACTGCTGGCTGATGGTCTGATGAGCAGACCTGGGCCTTCAAGACCTACTCTGTGTGAACTTGACTGTGTACAGAGAAACCCGCAGTGAAAAACAGAAGGAAAACAAGCAAGATCTCCTAGAGTTCAAAAATCTCTCTTCTGCTTGAATCACCTCTGAATTTTTTAGTTCACAGGGGTATTTATATATCCACATGGGTGAGGATGTAAACCTATCAGAATTCAAAGGTGATTCTGATCCAGCATTTTTATATGATCAACTTCCTCTCTCTCCTGATAACCTTTGTTTAGTGAGCTGGGGTCAATTTAAGAGAAGTATTATTACTCTTTTTCATCTCTTTTCTAGGTTGTTGATGCCAAATGCATAGATTGTGGGAAGTTTCACTTAAGATATCAGCATGATATCTTATCCACAAAAGCAGTAGTATTGGGCTTCCGTGTAAAACCTTTAAGACCCCTTAATTTCTTCCATGACTATAGACATGTCTCCACAGAAGCTCAAGGCCTTTAACCTGCATGCTTTCCCAGAGCAGCCCAGCCCCACCCAGCCCAGCCCCACCCAGCCCAGCCCCACCCAGCCCAGCCCAACCCAGCCCAGCCCAACCCAGCCCAGCCCGGCCCAGCTCAGCCCAGCCCAGCACAGCCCAGCACAGCACAGCCCAGCCCAGCACAGCCCAGCACAGCCCAGCCCAGCCCAGCCCAGCCCAGCACAGCCCAGCACAGCCCAGCCCAGCCCAGCCCAGCCCAGCACAGCACAGCACAGCACAGCCCAGCACAGCACAGCACAGCCCAACTCAGCACAGCCCAGCACAGCCCAGCACAGCCCAGCACAGCCCAGCCCAGCCCAGCCAGCCCAGCCCAGCCCAGCATCCCGCAGGCCATCTCCTCACTTATGCTCACACTCCTCCTCTGTCCAGCATTCCCCTTCCCTTCTTCCACTCCTTGGAGAATCATCCTTTAAAACCAAGTAAAACATCACTTTCACCCTTTCAAGAGTTCTCCCAAGTTAAAGTGAATCCTTCTCTCATCTGCATCTGCATGGTTTTATTTAAACTTCTCCTCCAATGCTCATCACATTATCAGTCACATACAGCTGTTGATCTCCTAGAGGGA